GGTAGATGAGATTTCGCGCGGGGCTGCTTTTCTTTGTCCTTTCCCCATTTTTCTAGCCGATCTTCAACTTTTCTTTATCTTTTTTCTTGCGCGATTATTTTGAATAGACAATACAAATATTATGAAATATTTGAGGGAAAACATTTTATGATCCCAAAAAGTGAGAAAAAGCGTGTTTGTTCAAAAGTCATCCATGATAGTGATAGAGAAAGTGATTTGCGGAACTAAAAATATGAAACCATCTTTTTACAAGATTACTCACTATTAGTAAAGACTAAATTGTTTATGTCACGTCCATGTCTCATGCTTTCAAAATTCTGTCATCCAGATGTCAAAATTTCAGTTCGATCGCGCCGTCCACAAGGCCTACGCGGAGCCACCCCAATTGTTCTCAGGCTCTTCCATCCTAGATACTATTTTTCATCGTATCTATTGGTCCATACGAGCGATTCAATTCAAGATTTTCTATAAAAATGAAGATATGGATTTAGACGAGGTTGTCGACAAATGGGAACTTGGCGTTCAGCCGCCTTCTTTAGAGTCATTGACTTTGAAGACGCAGTTCAGCCCGAAATGGATAAAGTACATGTATGCCAGATTTAAAAATGTAAGTCTAGATAGCTATTAGGTTGTTCGGAAAGTCCTTTCCACTTTTGATATGTTGTTTTCAAACTTCGTTATCTTGAAGGGGATAAAAGCGAGGAAGTTGTCGTTTTATCAGTATGCTGGTGAGATCTAATAGTGTCTACACCCCAACGGAGATCATTCTCCTCTTTTCGTGCAGTGAGATATGCCCACCGTTTTCGCCTCTAATAATTTCCATTTTTGGACTACCATTTTATTTGTATTTCTATCTGACCGCAGATCAACTGAAATCAATCACCAATTTGTGGAGGTTAACAACGAAGATGCACCCTTTCGAACAAACTTTACAACCTGGATTCATCAATTTGAAAAATGAAAATTCTCGTTGGACGAAAATCCCCTCCAAAAAAGCATACGGGCTCAGATTTGGACGCATTAAAAACCGAGATTGAAAGGGACTTGTCTCAAACTGTGCGGGATATATCAAATACATCTGTGGCAAGCCTTTCGTCAAAAAGCCATAAATTGGGAACTCTCGGCAAAGTAAAAAGAAGTGGAAAGATATGGATCACACCTTTTCGCTCAAAGCAACTTTGTTTCATGTGATGGCACCTGTTTGAATCTTCTCATCCTGCGTTGCACACATTAATGTTGAAGTTAAATCATCACTAGTGGCGATAAATGGTTAATGTATGATTACCATAATCAACAATCCAAGTGGGTTGAGGAGTATTGGCAGCTGCCAGATAATGGTGTCACTTTTATACCTATTTTTGTCAGGTGACTCCATGTGGATCTCCATTGGAGAGAAACACAAAGGTTTATTTTCAAAATCGAAGTTCGCAACCTCATGCGGGAAGGAGAACGGAGACCGATCTCACTGGATACGGCTAAACGGTTCTGTCTTGTCTATAGTATAGTCCGAACCTTGTACTGTCTGACTACCCCCTATCCAGCCATTTCTACCGACATCTTGATTGAAAAAAAATTCACTTCAAAGCATGATGTCAAAAATGGGTTGACCTGATTTCCTGATTTTCAATGCGCTGTGACCGGAGTTCTGGAAGGAAGGCATCCACAATTTGGTGGGACGTTGGCAGATAGTCACTGATAACAAATGTCATTATCTTCAAT